GGGGGGGGGGGGGGGGCGCGAGCATATATATATATATATATGTATGTATATATATATATATATATATTCATGTATACTTAGATTGTATATAGTATTATATATACACTTACATATTCATGTTTACATTATACACACATACATGTCTCCATATCAGGCGCTCCTACCTGCCGTGTTATGTGTTTACATGTTACAGAGACATACAAGACCTAGGGCCATTGCTTGTTTTCCAAACGGCTGCTCCATGTCTTGGAATCATTCGATCTCTATATTCCTTCTAGTTATCAGGACCTCCTCGGCAGGGCGCAGGACCCGAACTGCTTCTTTTCCCAGTTTTCGGACTCCGACTTTTCCGGTTTCACAGCTCTGACCGCTGCCAGCTTCTTGGGGAATCCTCAGTTGGTGGAGCTGCTATGTCAGGCTGGGGGCTTTCGGGCTTATCCGTCGGTTTAGGGTTTAGGGTATAGGGTTTAGGGTTTAGGGTTTATGCGTTTGGGGTTAAGTTTGGGGTTGAGGCTTTGGGGCGTTTCTGCGGGCCTTTGTTGGGGAAATGTTTGGGGGGACCAGGGCTTGCCTTGGCGAGTCGATTTGCAGAGATCGTTTTGCTCGCACAGTCCGTGAGGCCAAGGCAGCCTTAGATGCTCTGGACATGCGCGGATTTTCGGCACTGCAGATTGCCATCCGCAGAGACCATGCCGACCTGGTGCAGCTACTGCTCCAGTCTCGCGCAAATGCGAACCTGAACGGTACCGATGCTTGCAACAGACCTGATGCATCTTCTGCACTTCCTGTGTGCAAAACCTGAAGCTACAAAAAGCTATCTGTCCCTGAACCCAAGCCCGAAACCACAGCAAAGGCACGCGAGGAACTGCTCTATTGGAGGCAGCCGGCCACGGTCGTCTGACTGCTGCGCAACTGCTGCTTGAGGCAGGGGCGGAGAAGGACCCCGATGGGGAAACTTGGCACCTGGGTGCCAAAACCACCGAGGGTTTTGCGCGTTTAGGGGTGTCCCCAAAACCGTAAACCTCTAAACCCCTAAACCCCCAAAGCCTAAGGTAAACTGACAGGGTTCGGTTTTGCTAGCAGCCTTGAAGTCAACCATCGCACCGTAAAGCCCGAAATCCTGACAGCCTTAATATGGGTACTCATTAGTTCGGCACGAGTTCACACCGCTCTACTCCCAAACCCGAAAAATCTGTTGCTGAGGGTTCTATGTTGGGAGGAGGAGGGTTCTGCATAGGAAACAGGGGTTTGGCTTTAGTTGTCAGGAGTTTAGAGGTTCGGCGGCATAGTGTCGAGCCTATGTTTTTGCTCAAGCCGCCATTAGATGGGTGCGGTTTTGGCTTAGTGGTTCAGGGTGCCGGCCTCTATGGGCTGCAGTTTCGAGGCCCTAAACCTCTAAACCAAGCCGTTATAGACCCGAAACGGAGCTGAACCAGAAAGCACTGAAACCGCTCAAGCCCTGCAACCTACGCCCTGCCCGAAGATGCTAAGCCCCGTGCATAACCAGGAGACCCCTGACGCCTAAACCCCCTACTTAGGAAGAAGCCCTCAATCATTGCAATAAGCCCAACATGGTTTGAGGTAACTGTATTTCTCTGGGTAAGCGTTAAGCCCTATATCGCTCTAAACCCAAACTCATAGAAACAAACCTGCCCCCCAAAACCCTAAACCACAAAAGCACTTAAACCACGAAGCCCAAAAACTTAAACCCTGTGCGAGAGCGAGAGTCAAAATCTCACCCTAAACCCTATACACCCTAGGCCCTGAAACCACCAGACCCTATAAACCTAAACCCGAACCCTAAAGGGAAATATACGCTAAGCCCTAAAACCCCCAGACCCTATAAACCTAAGCCCTGAAGGGAAATATACCCTAAGCCCTAAAACCCCCAGACCCTATATAAACCCTAAACCCTAAACCCTAAACCCTAAAGCCTAAACCCACCAGGATCTCGGCGACTCGGAGGGGCGAAGCCCTTTGCTTGAAGCGGCCTCATCCGGCCATGGCGAGGTATGGGAGATCATACACAGCTTCTGTAGGGGGGGGTGGGGGGAGGAGGAGGAGATACGGGTTTAGGGTTTTGCAGGGATTCTACAAGATTGTTGGGGAGGGTTTCCTAGAATGTCGAGTGTCATACAGTTTGCGAGGTTATACAAAGGTCGTGCAGGTGTTGACTGTTTCTGTTCATGCGATGCTCATAAATCGACCTCCCTTCTGTTGCGGCCCCACTTCATATATATATATATATATATATATATCTGTGTAAGGATCTTTTCTAGTGTCTTCGCCAAAAACAGGGGCAATTATTATTCTGGGGGCAGGAGTTTATCGGGTTCTACGTTTTAGGAGCTTGTTGCAGCGAGTAGGTCAAATCGAATAGTTCTTGCTTCGGAACTTGCTGCACAAACTTTACCCGCCAGGTGGTGAAGCTCCTCCTCCAAGCACGAGCGAACGTAGACGAAGGGAATTGCTGGGGCAACAACTCTGTGCTCGCAGCCGCATCTTCTGGCAGCCTCGCCATCCTGCGCACCTTGATAGCTGCCCGGGCCTGCTTGAACGAAGCAGATATCTCGGGTCGGACACCCCTTACTGCTGCCATTGCCGCAAACCACCTGGATGCCCTGCAGCTGCTTATCGAGGGGAGGGCAGACGTGGACGATATGTACTATGGCTGGTCTGACATACCACTTCATGCTGCAGCCGCGGCAGGGCAACTGGAGGTGGTACGCTTGCTCCTGCGCGCGCAAGCTGATGTCAATGCATCCCGGAGTCCTGGCAGCCGTTCCTGCAGTGTTTGGGGGGTGCAGGTGGTCAGTTTGTCTGGCTTCAGCTCAGATATCCGATACCTTGAAGCAGAGGTGTATAGGGGCATAGGCATGCCCTCTACTTCTTGGAAAATGAAGGTAGTCGATTTTACGGAGATCGGTCTTTGGGTTGAGTACTGTCATTTAGTGTGCCAGTACTGAAGTTAAGGCTCCACCAGGCGTCGGCCCCTTTGTGGTTCCATGAAGCTCACGACTCACGACTTGAAACGCTCTGAGCTCGTCCGGTTGTGAGCAGATCAAGTGTAGCAAGTGGGCCACAGCCACCCACCCAGATTGTGCTAGGCCTACATACAAGAATGCTAGGGTTTGTTAATCGTGATCAAGGTGGTGTGTTGCACAGTCGGTTGCACAGTATGGTCCCGATGCAAAAGCACACAGGGGCCTCATGATGGCATTGTGAATGACCCTTATGTCAATTTTTCAGGCCCTATTCAACTGAGACGCTCGCATCTTATCCAAACCCCAAGAGCCTATCCCAATCAAACGGTACACCCCAAGAGACTTCATCCTAGACTCAATCAGACCTTATCACTTATCACCCTAAAACCCCTCGGCTGAATCCTTGTCTGCTTCGAGCGAGTGCGCCTGTCGAAACAATCAATCCCCAGCCCTAAACCCACGCCGACTTGTGCACCTATGGATCCTCGCCTGGCTTGTCCGAGTTGTGAGAGTGTAAACCTCAAATCCCAAGACTTAGTCCCTAAACCCCAAGCCCCTAAATCCGATGATCTATACTCTAAGCCCGAAGCCCTAAACCCTAAATCCCAATTAAGACCTAACTGAACCCGAAAACACGCCCCCCCTTTTTGTTCCTTAGGAGCGGTGATCGGATTCCTCTGATCTCAGCTGCAGCTCGGGGCTTTCCCGAGGTGGCGCGGCTTCTGCTGGAGGCTGCCGGGCTGGGGTTGGAGTGGGGGCGAGAGGGGTTGGGTTTTATAGGGTTCTATAGCTAGGGTTTAGGTTTTTATAGGGTTTTTGGGGGTTGTGCGGCTTAAGATGTTATTAAGGGTTTAGGGTTGAGAGTTGGTCTTCTGTTGGGTTTTTTGAAACTTCCGGGTTCTAGGCAGCCTTTGGCCCTGAAGCCCGAACCTCGGGGAAACGGTTTAGGGTTTAGGGTTTAGGGTTTAGGGCATCAGTTTTGACGGCTCCAGAGTCTTCGGAAGCCCATATGATCATATAATACCATGCTGCTGCTGTTTGCAGCATGGGCTTTTTGGGGAACCCTGCAGGAAAGTACGTTCTAGCAGGTCAAGGTACTTGGCAGGGCCATTTGACTCCAAGCTCATCCCCAGAAGGGTTCTTATAGTCCCTATATAGTACGAACAAGGACCATGGCATTTATTCGGAGCTGTACTTCTATATTTATGGGAGTTTCAGAGAATTAGGGGTACCTTATTTTGGGGTCCTTATAATAAGGATCCTATTATTTAGGGTGCTATATCAGGGTCCCCTAGTTTTGGAAGCCCCCATATGATCTGTGTAAGACATCCCTCATACAGGGAGAGGCCAACCTGAACCCGCAGGTTCTGCACGCTCCGCAAGGATGCGCGGTTTCAGCCTAGCGCCTCCAAGCCCAAGGGAAGCGTAAATGCTTAAGATGTTGAAATCTTCGGGTATGACATGGGGGCTTTCGTTGTGGGAATGCCTGGGGAGGGTTTCAGCAGAAATTGAAAAAGTTGCTTCAATCCACTATAATATACTATACTATACCTCCGGTATAGTATAGTATATCCCAAATCCCAGAATTTTGCGGACGTTGCTCCTCCGTAGCCTTCGGAGGCGGCGGCGGATCTCCGCCGCACAGCTCGCAATGGCCAGACAGCGCTGCAGGCCGGGAGTGGCCTTCCAGGAGGTCCTTGTATGTTACTCTTCATATTCATATTTGAATATTATAGCTCTAATGGTTTAGGGTTTATAAGGTTTAGGGATTTATATGCACTATGGATACATGCCCATATTCATACCTAACGAAAACAAATGTAACGAGAGGAATCACCTATGCAATGAGTCTCACTGCTTTTGTTAGTTTTGTTTTGATGTGTGTGTTTTTAGGATTCAGGATTTAGCCTTCAGGGCTTGGGCTTCGGGCATTAGGGTTCACATGTTCTTCTTATTTGGTGCTTCTGAGGACGAAAGTTTCAGTCGGGCCTAAGGCTTATATATACATGAAGGCGATACACCATGAACACTGCGGCACGATCTTCTGCGACATCCTCACGTTATATCAGGGTTTGGTGAATGCTCATCTGAGTGAGGATAGCGGAAAAGGCTTCAGGCAGTGCATGCTAATCAGTCGCAGCATGGAGACTTGCCACGCTCGTAGTTGTACCTGGCTTGGTGCACGAAAGCAGTCAGTCGCAGCTCGGGTAGGCTTCGGGCAGAAACTGCAAAGCGGAACTGTGAAGAAATATGGCTGCACATATATATATATATATATATACACACATATACATATATACATATATATATATATATATATATATGAGTTCAGCTCCGGCTTCCCATGTGTATAGCCCTATATCTGAGCTCCGCCCCCTTTGCAGGCAGCGCAAGCACGAGGACAGGATGCCGTCCTTGAGGTGCTTGCCGCATGGGGGGCATCGCAGTCTCTCGCTGACGCAAGCAGCCCGGAGGAGCAGAAAAGAGTCGCAGGTGTGTATAGTCCTTATATACCCCTTATATAGCCAGGTAGTCTCCATATTAACCCCAATAACCTACAAAGGTCCCTATTAAGGGTCCCTCCTAAAGCCCTTAGAAGGTGGCTCCATAGCCAAACTCCAGGGTTCTCCACTGAGGCTGTTTATAGAGCCTAGTTGAGGGTTTTGGGTCTAGCTGCCTAGCGAAACTCTCCGAGCTACCACAGCGACCTAAGCAAGGGCCCCTGGGCTCTTGTCACGAAATGCGATGCGACTTGGATCGAGTTGGTGGGCTTAGGGTTTAGGTTCAGTTTTATTTCTGGACAAGCACTTCGCCGTTTTTTGGCGTGGCCACGATCGTCCCCAAAGATCCGGAACAGAACCCTGGCGCCCCTAGAGACATCGCGAGCAAGTTGCTCATGGCTGCGCTGGAGGGTTTTATCGGCAGGGGCTGAAGACCGGGTGAAGTGTCTAGTAATGTTCAGCACATGCCACCGGATATTTTCTTTCAACCCTTTACCGTCGCCCGCCGCTGCTTTTGCTGACAGATGCCGCAGCTCTACTTAGTAGACGCGGCCTGCTGAGGTAGCCCTCCACGGCATTTGTGCCTGAAAAAGCCTCGTTAAAGCCTCAAATTCACCCCTCCTCTTGCCAGCACCTTTCATCACTGAAGCGCAACGACACAGCCTATCGAACTGGGCAACACCTGCACCCTAGCTCCCAGCCTAGGTTGAACCCATTATTTTCACCTTTTCACCCTACTGTAACCTTCAGATCGAAGCCTTATACGGTTTACAAAGTTGGACCCTTTCTGATACCTTTTTACGGAACCTTTCGGAGCCCTTCACCCCCTAACCCTAAACCCTAAACCCTTAAAAGGGACCCTGAAGGCTTAGTGAGCAGGCCGCCTTTGTCCCATGGCGCATCCCTAGGCCGAATACCGGCCGGGAGGGCACCAGGCGCCTTTTGCAGAGATCCTAGGGTTTAGGGTTTAGGGTTTAGGGTTTAGGGTTTAGGGTTAGTACTATAGAGGCCTGAATGGGAGTTTCCGAAAGTAAAGGGGTACCTTATTTTGGGGTCCTTGTAGTAAGGATCCTAATATCTTAGGATACTATATTAGGGTCCCCTATTTTTGGAAACCCCCAAATAACTTAGCTAAGCTATTTTGGCGGTTCCTTACTCTAGTTATCGTATAATATACCCCGAAATCCTATGCCAAGAAATAAAGCCCTTACAGCATCGGGGTTTTGAGATTTGGGTTCGGGGGTATTGGGTTTCAGGGCCGTAGAGGTTTAGGGGTACAGGGGGTTTAGGGTTTAGGGAATAAGTTGTAACGGTTCCTGAGTAGGGGTTGAGGGTTTATGTTGCAAAATAATAATAATAATAATAATAATAATCATGCGGGTTGACTTTTCCCTTTGGCACATCCGACAGATTCAGATTCCAAAATGGAATAGTCAGTAATGGTATTGTTTAGGATTCCAGATTATTTTGTTTCGTAGGTCTTATTCCCCGAAGGCCTATTCTAAGTGTTGAGGCCCCGATATTAGGCTGTCAACTCGGTACCGGGATGAGAACAGTAGCCTGTAAAATCTGTAAAGATCTCTAAAGTATACCTTGTCCTCATGAGGACTTTTTTTCTTCAACTATTTCTGGGGAGAGTGAGAGAGAGGTAGGACTTCATGTGTGTGTGTGCCTGTGCTTACAATGCTCTGAGACTCCCATGACGACCGTGAACATTCATTTACGTCGTCATCACCACATAAGCTGTGGGCACACAGAACCCTAAACCTTAAACCCTAAACCCTAAGACCCTAAACCCTAAACCCCAAGACCCTAAACCCCAAAAAACTAAACCCTGTCGAGCTCCGGAAAACCAGTGGTTCCCTTCGGTGCTTCTGCAGGTCAGCAGCCTCGCTGCTCAGCATCCCCGCAAGCCAGAGCATCGAGTCACTAACTCCCCCAATCTCTATAGTTTTTCTCCATGTCAGCATTTCCAAACTGCGAGGACTGTAGTTAGATTAGCTGCGTGCTGAAATATGCATCTGCTTACGGCGGCGTGTATGCATGCATATACCTGTGCTTGTATGTCTTCGCGCACGCAGATGAGAAAGCTATTTTTATCCCATGATACTTCTCAGTGATTCCACGATTCAGACATTCGCCTGTGGCAACAGACTCCCCTAAACCCTAAACCCCTAAACCCTAAACCCCTGGAAGGAATGGCTTTGCAGCCACCAAGTCGCACTGCCTCGAAAGACAGCCGGCCCAAGGAGCGAAGAATAGGGCCTTTAGGGTTTGAGAAGTGCGTTGCAGTCCCTGCTCAAAAAAAGGGTTTGAGAAGTGGCTTCAGGGCGCTTTTTCGGGAGAGCTTCTAGGGGCTTCAGATGTTTTGGATGTCGGCGTTTAGGGTGTCAGGAATGCAGGTAGTAGGACTGAAGGTTTAGAGAATTTTTCGGGTGCAATTTAGGAGTTTCCGGAATGGAGAAAGCTTAGGGCAGTCAAAAAGGCTCGCGAATATAAGCAAGTTTGAGAATGTAGAGTGCGCTTTCCCGCGGAGGCCCTTCGGATTTTGGAGAAATTCGTCTCTTGGGTGGTTCGGGTTCAGCCTCCTGCCGGCTTCGGGGTGTTCGGTCTAGTGCTCTGCGGCCTTCTGGCTATAGGCTATATGTCTGTATGTTATGTTGTTTTTTAATCCTGGATCGGACAGCACTGGAAGCCTTGGGCTTGAGTCTTGATAGAGGCTTAGGCTTTCGGGAGCTCGTGCCCATGATTTCCAGACCACCCCCCTCCCCTGTTTAGGATTTAGAGTAGAACCTATAACACTTAATCCTTTAAACCTCAAGATCCGGATTGAATCCAGAACAATAAACCCAGGTACACAAGCCAAAACTCAAAGCCCCTGAGCCATGGGCCTCCGCCAGCAGTTTAGTCCAGGAGATTACGTTCCTGGAATCTCCACACGATTCGCGAAGACCTTCCGCACACTCGGCTTCAAGCGAAGGGAAGAGTAGTGCAATCATTCAGTTTTATCCACAAGCACTGCATGTAAAACTATAGTGTGGGATAATTATAATGTAGCTCATCCTATGATAGGAGACAAGCACACGCACGACTCAATCATGTCTAGAAAACCCCTCAAGTCGTTACACGTAAACACATTGACTGAAGCGGCCTAAATGCTGTAAAGGGTAGCTCTACTCAAGATGAAGGGATACTAGGACCTTTCAGTCCCAACAGTGTGGCGCTTCACAACGCAAGGAATCCTGAATCTTCATGTGCGCGCGTGTGTGTATGTGTGTTGGGGTGCGTGTGGGGATGTTGAGCAGTATAGGGTCCTTGATCGAGAGAGAAAGGACCCCAAGTTGACGGATTTTCAGTGCTGAGAAATCCCATTTAGGTGAAAAGCTCGCCTGGTAACTCTCCGGCGCCCTCACCAACGGCGTCGCAAGATCCTTCGAGCATCGCACGTGCAGGCGCCTGTTGCAGGGACCTTCTGTTGCTTAGCTAGCTAGCTAGCTAGCTTGTTTCTTTGTTTGTTCAGTTCTGTGTGCGCTTAATGACACCCAGATCGGGAGAGGGGTGTGCATAGAGACATACCTCCATGCAACTTATGTATGTATGTATGTATGTAAGTATGTTTAGAGAGAGAGGGATGCAGGGATAGTTCAATATGTAGATATGCAGCAGGTTATTCGCACGCCCCCCGAAAAGCCATGGCAGAGGCCGCTATGACTGTAATATAGAAGCCTGAATAATCACGAATCTTATTCTTCGTCGCTCCTGACGAATCAGGAATAGGAGCTCCTCATTAGAATTAGACTCCCAAAACTGTGGTAATTATCAAGGTCCGTGTACTCTCCTTCCTTGCCACAACCAAGGGGCAAGGTCGAACGTTAAAGCACGGGAATCTAGTAACCTAGTATTAGCCTTTCCCTCCCGTGGACCCTTTGACCCGGAACCCTGAACCCGACTTTCAGACCTTCCTAAGCCTAAACCTCAAACCCCGAAGCCTCAAACCCCTTCAACCCGCCAGACAGAGATGCATCGTTGTGTCTTTCTTGAGGAAAGCGGAAGCGAAGTGTCGTTGTACCGGTGAAGGTGTTGCTTGGCTTTACACCGCTTATTTGGAGAGTTAGGGTTTATGCAGCTTCCGTTCTAGTGCCTGCAACAGGCTGGAGAGTTTGCAGTCGATTGATATGATTTTTCTATCCCGTTTACAGCAGCAAGTTACGATGTGTCTAGCCTTACGGTCCTTATGCCACAAGTAAATTGCTTTTGTCTCTTTCTAACAACAAAGTCGTATATTAGGTCTGGGTGCAACGGTTTGTCGGGCCCAGATCGGCCTCCCAGTGTGTGATCATCTGATAAGAGGTCCCAGGGTCACCAGGGCCACAGCGAGCAGTTGCTCCATGGTGCCTTTGGTCCCTACATACTATACGAAAATATCCGCCTAAAGACTGTTCAGATCATTCAGGTCCTTACATTATATTGCCATTTCTGCATGAGTCCATGACTGCTGAGTTTGACCCTTCTCCGGGGCTTAGGAAAACGCTTCCCAACGAGTCGGAATTCGGCGATGCCGCCGCGGAATGGCGGTCGGAGTCCCTTGGCCTGATACAGGTGCCGTGATAGTCAGAATAGGGTTTGGGGTATATATACTATGCTATAGGTATCACCGGGACTGAAATATAGAGGGGTGGCTTAAAGGATTGGGGGTCAAGTATTTACGGGACTTCATACTGCAGATCCTAGTATTTTCGGATTCTGCATGAATCCCGGCTTTTGTCGAAACTCCCGGAGAAGCATCGATTTGGGGGCATTTGATGTTAGGTCTTCAGGGTTTGGGAGTTCAGACCAGTCTAGGGGGGCTAAGGCTTTGCAACTCTAAACGTGGCCGTCGGCTTGAATGGGGTGCGCCCAGCGAAGCTGGAAGCTTAACCGGCTACCCGCACAGACACCCTTCCACCCTTCATGTCCAGCTGGCTGTATACAGGGGGCTCCCGAAAACTAGTTTTCTGTAACATAAAGCCCCCCAATAAACCTGTTCAAGGTCCCTCAATCAGCAAGGGTTTAAATACCGAACGTGGCCAAGATTGGCTTCGAGGGGAGAGAGAGCGGTCTCGGCGTGTGGGACTAGGATCTCATCACCCAAGCCAGAACCCTTCAGGGTAAATCCTTTACTCCATATGGGACTTTCCAAAAATAGGGGGTACCTTATTTTGGGGTCCTTATAACAAGGATCCTATTATTTAGGGTACTATATTAGGGTCCCCTATTTTCGGAAACCCCCATATCTATAGGTTCCTACAGGAATGCTTTGACATGAATGACAAGAGGAAGCGCCATGAGATGGCAAAGATCAGAGCACTGCCAGCGTCCTACACTCGAAAGCCCTACCCCAAGCGCAAGCTGAACTACCCTACATTGATCGAAGCCTAGTCGGGTATTTCAATAGCAGAAACGCACGCATCGGCAAAAAGCCCAAACGCACCCAGGAGGTCGGAGGAGATGCAAATCAGCAGAGCGGTTAGCATAGCGACGCAGCTCAGCGACCATGAGGAGGCTGGCGAAGGTTTAGGCTTGCTTATAGGGTTCAGGGTTGGGAGGAGGATTTTGACATGAGGTTATATTTTGCTTTGAGAGTCGTACCGAAGGCTCGGAGGTCTCAAAGTTGATCCTACCAGAATTTAAAGGTTGCAGAAGTACCTGGACCGGGGAAATTCAGCGACATGTATGCAGTGAAGACTGAAGAGGGCTAGCTAGGCTTTGGTAGTTATAAGGGTTCCGGCCCAAGATCAGAGTGAGCGTTCCTGATCGCTCCCTAAACCCTAAACCCTAAACTGTAAACCCTAAACCCCAAACCCTAAACCCTATAAACCCTAAACCCTAAACCTTGGTTGGCGTTCTCTTGACAGAAGGTCAGACCGGGGGCCTTCTTTTCTGCAAGAGGATTAGGGTTTAGGGTTTAGGGTGGTTCTCTAAATTAGGGTCTCTTTTAGGGTCCTTTTTCGTAAGGGTGCCGTACTATATTTGGGATCTAAAAAGGGACCCTATAATTTAGAGAACTACCCGTTAGGTTCGTCGGTGGTGGACTGCAGCAGGCTGAAACATCGTTCGCACTGCATTCACCTGACTTTGCGGAATTCTGTTTCGCGCGAGCAAGACACATGGAACATCACTTCCCAGCAACCCCAAAGCTAGAAGAACGAAGAACATGAACGCACGCATCATCCTCTGATCACGTCCCATGTTCTGGGTTAACCCAGCTCCGAAACAATGCTGCAGGAAAAAGAGCCGCCCAGCATCAGCTACCTGGACAATGTCTTGAGAACCCTGGCCTGAAAAAAACAACGCTCATATTTCTCTCGCGATGTACCCTGAGCTCACCCGCCTAAGTTCATAGGGTTCTTTTGTCGCTGGCGTCGGTTTCTGATAAGTATGGTGCCTCTGGTGTTGCCTGTGTGGTTTTTGTGTTTGTAGAGTTCTATAAGGGTTTCTGTAGTTCTTGCTCTACAGGTGTTCACACACGCCTCCTCTTGGGGCTTTGTATGCGGTAGGCTCTCGGGTTTGCTTCCGGGCGGATGCAAAAGGCAGTCCGACCACTGTATGGTGTAGGGTTTAAGGTTTAGGGTTTAGGGTTTAGGGTTCAGGGGGGCATGACCTGTTGAGGACACCCCGAAGCAAGTACTCACTCAATCCGACGTTTCCAGGAAATACGCAAGGAAACCATGGGAAGGAGCCCTAAACTGAAAGGCTGTCTACTGTTCAGGTAGTCTTCGCTGGCGCACAACTCAAGCCCATGCCGAACAAGCAGCTAGAGTTGAAGGGGACTTACAACTCTATCCACGAGAGACACGCAGAAGATCCCCAAGTTCGAAGACATTTTTTCCCCGAAGACAACCAAGCAAGCCGAAGCCCGAGAAAGCCCCAAACCGACTAAATAACAAGGGCCCCTCTCCTCCCTTTAGGGTTTAGGGTTTAGGGTTTCCCCCCAAAAAAAAGGAAAGGCAAAGCAAACCAACCGAGGATACGAGTTCCGCCGGGGGGGCCCTGGGCTGGAAGATTCTCGAGCAGGCACCCTGTCAAGTCGGAGGAACTGGGGATGTGTAGATTTTTGGGTTGTCTAAGGTCGAGATGGGCTTTGGCTTGGGGGTTTAGATCAGGAAGAAAGACTGGCCTTGGAGTGCGGTACGAATGCAGGATGCCCGAGGAAGCTACGCCCCGAGCTAGATACCTGACTCAACTCGCCGGGCTCGACGCCCCCGATTCAACGAGTCAGCAAGCCCACTATAGAAACCTGCATGCTTATGAATGTTACTCCTCAGTGTTCCTTACATATTATACTGGTAGTATATCATGCCTAATAATTCCTAATATACCCATTAAATGAATGCCTATTCTCATTATTCAGGCTTCAGCAAGCCGGACTGGCTGCATCCTTTTCGATGCTGTGTTGCAAGCGATCCCGCAAGGCACCTCCATCTGGAACGAGTCTGAGACCAGCAGAGGCTTCTTCGGTGCGTGAGCTCCACATATTAAGTATATGGGTAGTTTTCAATATTAGGGTCCCTTTTAGGGTCCTTTTTATAAGGGTGCCGTATTATATTGGGGACCTAAAAGGGACCCTAATTTAGAGAACTACCCATATAGTATATAGAATATAGTACATCGTATAAGAGTATACAACTATATGATTTATTCACGCACACACAGAAAAAGTCTGGCCTTGGGAGGACGAGGGGTAGCCAAAATCCTCTACAACGCACCGGGAGGCTATAGCTTATGGTAGGATTTCTTCAGGCATGGTGCTCTTTTCGTTGCATGGTCAGCAACAGCTGGGGTCCTGATCAGTAGTCAATGGGGGCACTCCCGGCTGGGCCAACATCGTATCAGCATCATCAGCCGATCGCCTGGTCATATACGTCACGGCTGCTAAAGCCTTCAACGTTCTATGGTGATAAGATCGCGATCACCATGTGTTTTGTCGTTTCTGCGACTGTTGCGTTCTATGTTTTTTTCTGTTCGGTTTCTCTATATTCTACTAGGTTCGATTTTCTATTAATTGCGGATAGAATATACAACACTGTATGTATGCATATGCTCTATGTGTAACACGCATACATACAGTACATCCATGCATACATACATACATAATCGCTTCCCACTATTATTAAAGCCTCCCCTAATATTAAAACTGCCGCCCCCCGGAAATTTATGGTTTTGGGCCTACAATTGAAAGTTGATTAAAAACATTAGGGGGGGCCTAGATTTGTATGAG